TCGATCACACTTCATGATCAACAGTTTCTTTTTGCTTGTCTTGATGATGGAAACCAATACTTCTTGTTCACAATTGTTCCTGAGATCTTTGATCACCTCTTTCCGTGTTGCAAACTTGTTGTGCGAATACTTATCTTAATTAAACATACATTGTTGACATGCATACTCACACGCATACATATATAGGGAACAACAACGTACACATACACAAATGTATCACAATTCGTCCTCCTAGTCGGCGATTAGGTGCCTTGAATTTGGGAAGACTCAAAGACTTTTCAGTTCTTTGAGTCTATACTAAACTATACTCTCCAACAAAAGTGAGCACTAACCTAGGTTTAACTCAACTAGAATTAACTCTATTCCAATAGTAACTACTCACAACACATATGGATATGACAACCTCCATCTCCCGTTGCGTTGCGCGTATAGTTTATGGCGGGGACGCTTAGACACATCCAAATTTATTTTGTTTGAAATCAGACCAGCAAAAAAGATGTGAATCTAGTCAAAAAAGGAATGGAAATAAAAATTTTCAGGAATTATCATTTTTATAATATTAATTTCTGGTATTGAAAATTTTTATCATGATGTGTAGAGTCAATTGCATCTCGTTACTAATAAAAAAAGTTATAATATGATGAAATACATATTAAAGTAATCTTTATTAAATACTAATTTTTGAAAATATGAAGATAATCAAGATTAATTTTGAAAACTTACACATTGATCAAACTTTTTCACTTTAAAGAGTTTTCTACTAATACATAAATTTTGCATGACAACATAGAAAACATTTACTAGAAATTTTATAATCTTTATATTGATTTCACTCCATAATATTTTGAGTATTTCTTATATATAGTAAATTATAACTCCATTGTAATCATTCATGTCTTGATTCATATCATATTGATTGAATCAAATACAATCATCACAATTAAATCATCAAATGACATAAATTCAAATTTTCTTGTTAATTCAACTTCATACTTTTTATAAAAAATTGCAAATTATTTTCTAACAAAATATATGAAATATTATATTTAACAAAAATTTTAAATGACATAAAATGATGACATATATTGATATGTCATCATTGTAAGAAAATAACATCTGTTTCTAATTGACAGTGCAATATCATATTTCATAGTTAATAGCAATAATGATTTAAATTAACAAAAACGTTTTGAATTTTTTTAAAATTTCAAAATAATTTTTTTTAAATTGCAAGGAACAAGAAAAAATATATTAGAATTTATTATGCAAAGACTATTTTTCTGATGTGTAGAGTGAAAACTCTATATAATTCACTCTAAAAAATTTTAAAATGTTGTGATAATAAAAATTGATGTCATCAAAATAAGCCAAAAAATCTTGTAAATTTTATATTTTTTCTCATTTCATTTGTTAAAAAATAATATATTTTCCAAAATTTTTTGTAAATTAATTATTGTGCAAATAATTTAATTTTTTATATCTCAAAAATCTGATTTCAAGCTAAAAATCTGACGCTAAAAAAATTGTCTTCAAGTTTTTAGTTAAAAATTTAAAACAATATTTTTATCATGATTGGATTTCATAAATATGTGTGTTAACATGTTTCTAAGTATAAAAATCTACATCTAATCAAGTGAAAAGTAAATATATGAAGTATTTAAAACTACAATATCTGATTAAATTTTTTGGTTTTATTTGTTTATTACTATTTTAGTATTACTGATATTTTGAAATCGTTATTTCATTTAAAAAAAATTTGGTTGAAATTTTTAATTTTTAATTTAGATATATTTCTATACATAAAATTTGAAAATGCAATGTATCTGTTTGTTTATTTGGCTTTGAAAATAATGCTGAATCTCACAAGTCACATGTTAGAGTCAATTATTATTTTTATATAAAATGTTGAATCTGTGATTGTGGGTGAGATTTACAACTCACACGGGGAGAGCATTGATGTTATTTACTTTAAGTGAACTTATTTAGTAGAGGCTAGATTAAGACTATAAATACGATGATTACAAGATGTCTACATGTTAACAATTCTGATGTATGATTATCATTTTTTTAGATGCACATCAAATGGATTGGCATGTTGTGGATGTCATTTGAATTTCATGTTACATCAAGTATCTATTTACATTGATACCCAATCCAAGTTGGATGTGTCAGAACCACAATTTGAAAGAGTTGGATCAACTTTCCTTGCTTGGCGTTTGGAATATAATATGTTTGTGAAGATTAAAATTTGAGAATGTTTAGATGTCAATGTGTATATATTTGTGAAGATGAAAAATTGAGTTTAAAATCCAGTTGTATGGTCATAATATCTAGATAAGTAAGATGCATTCTTATGAAATGGGGTTTACTAATATTACTTTTTAATGAAGAATTTTTATGCGAAAAAAATATCTTGATAAAATTGAATATATCAAATTTAAAAATTTCAAGTTCAAATTTGATTTCTATTCTTATATACTCACAATTTAAATTAAATTTTGATGTAAGTTTGCATAAATTTTAAAAAATAATTATTAATTTGATACTATATTTTTTATGAAAAAATTCAATATTCAAATTAAAATTTAAAACCTAGGTTTAAATTTTGACATTTTTGAATATCATAAAAATGTAAATAATCAAACCTTGAATGATGTCAATAGAAATGCAAATTTTCAAAGGCTCGATAAATTATTAGTTTTTATGCATTACATATTTTATTTTATTTTAAAAATATATGAAATCTACCTTTTGAGTTAATTTCATTTGATGCAGATGATAAATTTATCAACATCATGTCATGATAAAAAAGATGAAAATAATCATAATAAAAAAATTATTTTAATTTTTTTGAATGTGAATATTTCTATTTATGTTTAATTTAATAGTCAGTCCAATCATTTTATTCAATGTTATCATATAATAATTTTTATAGCAAATTTTTGATAGAAGGAAATGATAATCATTAATTAATGAATCTACAAGATGATTGAATTATTTTGCAAAAAAATTCAATGCATCACATCATGTTGTAGACATGACGTGATATATTCAATAGTATATGATTTTAATATTCAAGTGTATTTAACACTAGCTTAACTCATTTTTCTTAGACTAATCATGCATTAAAAAAAATTAACTTTATGCATTTTTTATATATTTATGAGAAAATATCTAATTAAAATTCTACCATTATCAAGCTATTAATTTTGTTTTTTGGATTGAATATCAACGTGTAGTAGTTACTTCAAACTTAAGTGAATTGTCCAAAGTTTGTTTGATCATCTTGAAATATATATCAAACTTATAATTCTTATAATGTTTAAATACATATTTTGGACATAAATTGCACATTTTGCATAAAAACCTATTATTCTAGTTGTTGAATGCGTATCATCTAGCCAAAAGTAGTTTAAGGGTTAAATCTATCAAGATGAAAATTATCTTCAAATAATTTTTTTTAATTGAGTGCAGATCATGCAATATTGTTGATATTCTATCAAAATCTTTTACCAAAAATAGCTTCAAATGATCATCTGAGTAGGTTGTAAATAGGTGTACTTGAACATTATATTAGTTTCAGATCTTTATAATTCTCCGATTGTCTTGTAGATATTCTTTTGAGGTGATATTAATTATTTATAATATTCAATCTATTTTATGAATGATGAGGAGGTTGATGAATCTTTATTAGACTTCATTTTTTTGGTATAAATATCAAGAAACTCTTTCTTCTCTTTCATCAAAATGTGATATAATCGAATCATCATATTAAATATGACCATCGTATTTCATTTTGTTGTTATTGTGGAACAAAAAATATTTTTATGTACATCCTTATTTGCTAAGGCTTATTATCAAGTTGTTATGTCTGCTACTTTGCCATCATCACATTTTGTGTCACATTTTTTATGAAACAGACATTGTATTTTTCATTGATAACATTGAACATGATTTTTAAAACTTGACCATTTAAAAATATAAAATGTAAGATTTGATAAATTACATACAATCATAATCATTATCTATGTCCTGAAATGTGTATAATTTACAAACGGCTTATGCATATTGGAATTGATAGTTTGATGTAAGGATTACTTTTCATGCTTTCCAAAAACTACACGATATAATGTTTTTAGATTAAATTTTTTCCTATTAATTGCCTCACAAGTGACGTCTGATATATCATCCTCAAGTTTTGCTCATCATATTATTATGATTCCTTCTTCATCTATATATAATTCTGGTTTATAATTCTCTTACAAGCGGATCATGTAAATTCTTTACTGAAAATTTTGTCTTGTAATCTAATTGGAAAGCTACTCAAATCATTGTCATGTTCATATGCAGCGCAGGTTTATTATTGATGAAGAAGATGACATACATAGCACTTTTTGTTGAATATACTCCTCAACAATTTAATTATATTCTCATTTTATGATCGCAGATTGATGATGTATATTGGAAAAATTTTGCAAATATGTTTGTAAAACAAGTAATTTACATCATAGGATTACTTACTTTATCTTTATATACTGGAATTTCAATTGATTCAATTTTCTAACTGGATCTGGCTAAGTCTCTGACTCTGAATAGCTGCTCACGTTTTTGCTCCAGCAAGAATGCTCATGGATTTAAGTCTGAATATGTATAAAACTTATAGACTTGCACAAGTTACCCTTCCTTATATAAGTTTGATCTTGGTTTAGTTTATCCATTCAGATCTTTATTGCTCAGAAAGAATGTGTTCTCAATCAACATTGAATTTAGTTTACATGAATCTAATTTGAAGAGGAGAGGATACGTGATGTGATATCATTAACGATGTGAAGTTTGCTAGACAAATGAAAATAGTTAGTTATATATATATATATATATATATATATATATATATATATGTTGTAATATAACTTTCATGAGTCATCTTATAAATGACTCAAGAAAAATGGATACGCTTCGCGCAATGAATATTAGAATGCATTGAATTTTGGCTAAGTTCCCCCTCCGAGCTTGATATAAACACCCACATTATTTACAATTATTACTTTGTAGGTATCATATAGAAGGGCTCCAATATACTCTGATTTCTTCCTTGCTCCTGATTTATGACATCCAAATCTTCGTTTCGCTTATGGTTGGAAGTGCATATTCTTTTGCCTCGTGGGAGGGAACGACCAAAGTTAGAAATTTCTTGCATACTGATCAAATCTTCTCGCTGCCTGAAATGTTCAAACGTCCTTCCTGTCGAAGACATGTTCGAACATCTTTTAAACTCTTGCTCATCCCCATGGACTATGTGTCTCGCAGTTGTCCAAGTTCAATTGATCAGAACGGCCTCTTATTGCGCCAAGTTTATACCCAAGTTCTTTACGACCGGGTCTCCCACCCCATCCATTGTAAGAGAGAGAACCTGTCGAGTGTGGATCACTCATTTAGGCTTCCTAGTGATTCCACAGCCTCATTTCCACACTTCCGTCCTTCATTCATGTTTGGGTCCATCTCGAACCCTCGCGCGGACACATGAACTCTCGATTATCTTGGCTCTCTTTTAATGCTTCAAAACTACATTCTTACAACGCATGGTGTCGTCGTCGTAGTTTACTAGCAATGTGACCACACACTGTGGCCACTTGGTACTCGACAATGTGCTTCCAAACCACCTCTTCCGGACGAGAGCTTCCTGTTCAATGACGGATGGTCGCTGCGTCCTAGCCTGTCCGGTTGTATGATCAAGTAAACGAGAGAAGAAAGTGGTATAGGGGGTTTGGTAATCGAACAAACAAACAAAGTAAATGAAGAGCATGTTGAAGTAGATATTAGGTAGTAGATCTCGGTTTTGATCTAACGCCTTCTTGCCAGTTTAAAAAACGAGGAAAGGAGGTAAAAGAAATCTCGATGATGATAAGCATCGGGAAGATGTCCCCATAATTTGAGTGACGAGTGGTTGAACACGGTTGATGCCTGAGGAGAGAAAGGCGAAAAGAGAATAAGAAATATCGTTTTGTTAGAACAGGACGAGTTTGACTGTTTTCATTGAAGTCTATTTCTGATATCGCTATGAAGAAAGGTAGGGAGGGAGGCGGTGTGGGATCAGAACACACCACCGCCCCCTAATCCAACTAACCCTCCCTCCCTCCCTCCCTGTCCTTTGTCCTAAACAGTCCGTCCATACTTGCATATGCTTGCAAAAAAGTCAAGAATGAGTACACGTCCATTTGAAATGATGGTGCGAAGAATGTATGTATGTGCTACGATATGTGGAATAAGCTACTCTGATACCAACAATACATATTCCAGGTTTAAGTTGGCCATAATCTGCATGACATGCAATGACATCAGCAGCCCGTTGTTTTCACAAACCTGGCAAACATGGACATGAAGGTGAAAGCTTGGGAAAGTGATGGACTGCTTTCTTTTAGCCACTGTCACCAGTTTAGAAACATTTTCATATGCTGCAAAAGGTTCTGCAAAATCCTTACTGCTTCTTCTACGGTCAAGGCTGAGTAAGGCCCACCAATTCGTCCTTCAGCTGCTGTAGTTTGGCCCATGTGAGTGACTACATTTGCCCTCTCGTTTTCGGTGATCAGAGACACTGACCCTTCCCTCTTCCCTCCCATTGAATTGTCAGTAAATATCCTTTGCATGTCTTGGCAAGCGCTCTGCCTTCTGGGAACCCGGTTTGTTTCGGGACTGATTTCGTATTCACGCCCAGACAAGAAAGAAGCTCAGACATAAAGTGTCATGTCAGGTATAAAATTTACCGCTTGCCAGCAGTACTTGCGACTCGAAACCCATGGGTCAGCTCACCCATCTTCTCGAATCAGTAGGTCATATGAGAGAAAATAACATCCCTCTCAAAATAAGATCCACAACCTCTCCACTCTCCACTCTCGATCTCAAAGCAATACTGTTGAAATCTACTCCTCTTCCTTTCGTTACCAAGAAGCAATCGCTGTTTACATCACCAACACGCAGAACACACAAGAAAAATGCCACTAAACGATCTCCGATTTCTCTCCACTACGTGCTCTTTATCGGCCGGGTGCTACTTCAAAGTTTTGACTGATCCCTCCATCGACAAACTCCAGTCACGGCCGCCAGCGATATTTGCGCTCTGTTCGCACCGAACCTCCCGTCGTTCGCAACAGAAACGATTCGAGAGATGCGTGACGGGCGACGAAATTGACAATCTTCGCCTTGCAGGCTGCAATCGTCGATCATCAGACTCTCTGGCGCACTTTCTTCTTCTCCTTCGACGGGAGTCGCACATCTTCCTTTCCTTCGTAGGCCAAGAAGTGTCCAGAGAGTCCCTCCAACTTCGCTCATGCTGGGGACGCCACGTGGCTCGCCGGTTGGAATGCGCAGTCGAGCTTACCGACGACCGGAACGGAGGACGGAGGGTGTGGATCATACCTCTGAGAGGGATCGGTCGGCGAGGGACCCATGTCGGCAGATGTACGGAACGGACGGGTCTGTGGAAGGAAGAAACTGACAGAGTTCTGCACCGTGGTTGACAGAGTAGAGGACGGAGCGTCACGGAAGTAGGGCATCGTAGGATGGCTACTGGATGAGGATGATGATTAGTGCTAGTTAATCGCAGAGTTAATGTTCGTGGAGGGCAGGCACTAATCTAATCCTCTGTACTGTAATGCGAGGGCCGAGCAGTTGCTTATGCTACTTTGGGAAAAGGGCTTCGACTTATCAGGAGGCCATGACTCGATCGGGACTGACACGCCCCGAGATGCGTGCCCATTCAAGTGCTGATCCTCCCTCGGCCCCTCCTCCTCCTCTCCAGCCTCTTTCCCGAATCCATATTCAAAAGTTCGTTGGAATCAATCAATCCACCCATTCAATGGATGACCCACCCTTCCTCGCCTCGCCATGCCTTGAGCAGCTGGCTGCTTCCTTGCGCTTTCGATTGCGAGCCACGGTGCAACGGTCCAATGTTGGAGAGTTACTGATTTGGACGACAGTTCCCAACTCTTCTTCCTCTCTCTCACTCTTTGTCTCTGAAATTAATCAGTTCTTTTGGTCGTTGACATGGTCCCTCTTGACAAGTTCCTCCAGTGCTTGACTGTCAGTCATTCCAGTGAGTGCCCCTCGGGATCCTAAACTAAAGGCTCGAAAATTGATCCTTGACCTTTCACGCGCTTCTTCAGAATGACAAGTCTAGAAGAAGTGGATTTTTTCACGTAAAATGTTGTTGTAAATATGGAAATGAACACAATATTGATGAATTTCTTCACTCTTCGCGAAAGTTTCAATTGCACAAGTTCGCGAGATGTGCGTGCTTGCAATCAGAAAAGCGACAGCGGCTCTGATCGGATCGAAAGAGCTGTCGGGACTTCATGCACTGTGAGTGAGTGAGTGAGTGAGTGAGAGGGGTAGAGATAAGACAGCTAATGAACGACCCTAAGACGCCTCGAAGGAGCATGGAAGAAGCGTGGAGGTGGAAGGGACACGCTGATTAACTTGGAAATAATTTCGATTCGGAAGTCACTAAAAAAGGCGGTCGACAGAGTGTTCAGAGTATTCTCAAGCGACAACGCTCCGAAGACGCTTCCGAAGTCGCCAAAAAGCCGAATGAATCGTCCATGAAGGATGGAAGGTCCAGCTGTAACGAGAGCATAAACTGGATCACTCCTTGGCCAAGCAACGCAGCTACTGCCCATGCTCTGTTTTGAAACAGTTTCGGATCACACGGAGCCAAAGCCTGAGCCTGAGCCTGAGCCTGAGTTATGCGCTTGGATCCGTCACATATGGATCTGAGACTGCAGCATCGGTCTCGCCTACATTCGTCTTCCGTCCTTGAGTCGCTGTCGTGAACCAACAACGAGGGAACCGAGGACATGGCAGGGGAAGGCAGGGCATTCCACGCTAGCCTCAGCGTCCGCTGTCAGAAACTGCACACGACAGTTCATGTGGAGTTTATGACACTGGGAGGGAGACCTTTCAGCACAGAACGATGCCCTTCTGTTCAAGCAAAGCTGCAGAGCAGTTAGCCACTGTCCGTGCACTGTTGTAAACAAGAGGCAAGGCAGAGAGGAGTGGATATGGGAGGTGTCAGGGATTGACTGCAAATGAGTGACATCCATAATTGCAGTTCACGGAAGAAGACCATCTCGTTTCTGGTGTAGGGCCCTGGGATCTTGCGAAAACATTCGGGTCGCATCAGTCTAAATATGGTCGCAGGAGCAAATGCATCAACAGCATTTGCAGTTTGCAGAATCTGGAAGTAAAATAAATTCTGTACAGTTGACACGTATTGCGAGGGGATGAAAATAGAGCAAATCACTCAACGCACACGAGAGCGAGAGCGAGAGCGATTGACCACAGGGACAGCACAGGCTGAATGCAGAAGCCACTGGTGGCAGGGGATCTGTGTTCATTGTTCATAAGCACCGGAGAAAACATTTAGCATCTTTACAAGAAAAAGAAATTGACAAAAACGCTAAGCAGCGTCCATCTGCAGCGGAAAACGCAGCATCGAATTTGTGGAGCAAGGATTGCAGACGAGGCGTCCGAGAACAAGAGAAGAAGACTAGATCAGAGTTCTTGCTCAGCAGGAGGCGGTTCTGTGCTCTCAGCCGGCAGAATTGATTGAGCAACGTTGCAGTTCAATGGATTCCACCGGAAGGTCACCCCCAAACACAGAGCAGCAAGCAAGTGAAGTGACAGATATTCATGTGTTTCCAGTGTTCGAGAAGGCAGCTGTCGGTTGTTGCTCCGCCAACAATCAGGCTCGCCCGTCATCGGCATCGGAATCGTCTGTTCCCGAGGAGGAGGAGAAGCTTGCTGCTGATGATGCTACAGAGTTGGAAAGGGCTCAAATCAGCACTCTGATAGGAGGACGAGGACGAGGAGGACCAGCGTCAGCGTCTATGCTCCAGCAGCTGGTCGTCGAGATGAAGGCCATGCGCGAAGAGCAAGCAGCGCAGGGTCGGCAAATGATCTCTATTCTCGAAAGTCTGGCCACGGAGCAAACTCGAAGCAACAAACTTCTGCAAGAAGCGCTTTATTCTCAGAGCCACCACGACCGAGGACAAACTCATTATCACCATCCCTACATGGAGAAGCTGGCTACGAGCTTGGACACCGTCAGACGAGAGATCGTAGAGATCAAGCACATTGCTGCTCGATCTTCGCCAAATCACAACAGGTTGCATTGACTGACTGACTGACCGAGTCACATTCTCTGACTCTCGAATAGATGTTCCTCTTCTTTGCTGTCTGGGATGAATATTTTAAAGCTAGTGTGGTGTGTAGGAATACTTTCTGGTCTGTGAGTTTCTGGAGTCTAAGAAGTCTTTCCTCACACATCTCCGGACCATGGATCCTGGACTCGCACGCACCAACATGTCAGAACGCCCTCGGAGTCCTGGAGCGTGTGAATGGATGCTCTAATTAGTGGGTTAGTAGTGCCTCTGGTATTTTCTGGTTGTGGATTTGTGTCGACAAAAGACCCCGTGCGAGATGCAAGAAACCGACAAGGTCTTAGTCACGTCACACCCTTCGTCTGTTGTTCTTAGTTCTGGGTAGCACAATTGGAAGCATGTGCTCCACATGGCTCCATCGCGCTCGCCTATTGTAGATTCGACTCCAGTGCTCAAGCAGAAGGATTTGCTTTTACAAATGCTCTCAAATGTAATAGAGGGACAAACTTTGGGTCCGATCGTTGCTGATGTGCGAAGATCACGTGGATGCGTCTCATGCACCAGCTGAAAGGGGAGCCATCGAGCGAAAGAGCGCACTGAGCGGTCGTGAAAGGGGAAGTTTCATGAATCTGCATCGCACATCAGGCCTGCGTTCGACTGGACGACGTGAAAGAAGACACTCCATCCCGTCCGCACATGTGCACGTGCTGGAAGATACTCGTCCTCATAACCAGAGCATCGGAATTGCATCGAATCGCCGATTATCTACCCCAGTTCAAGACATGAGTCCTGGAGGAGGAACCGAAAGAAGAATTAGGGGACGAAGGAAGAAAGGAAGACCTGACGTGAACGGAACCGGATCCAGGAACCAGTGGAGCAGTGGAGCAGTGCATCTCTGCTTCATTGGAATCGATCATAAGAATCGCTGATCCGACTAAGTCAGGGTACAGAGTCGCTGTCCAATCTTCATGAGACCTGCTTGCCTTCTACAACAGCTCAGATGCTCAGGGATGTGAACTCACGGTCGCCAGCACGTTTGATTGGAGTCGGGACGTGCCTCGGGTCCCTGGAAGATCGAATGGGCCTCACAGATTGCTGGAGCACTTGAATAAGAAATGAAGGTAATGAGAGATGGCATTAATGCCAGGACTTCGAGCCGAGGACAACCAAATCCCCAATACTGCTTGAACGAACACTTACCAGTTACTGGCCCTGATCCAGCAAGCTCAGGCCCTTGATTTTCAGCCATCGTGCCTCCTACCAAAGTCCATCTGCCAGACATGGCAAATGGAGCGGATACGGAGGGCCCCTACAAATTGCATCTCTCTGTTCTTCTCTATCTCTGTTCGGCTCGCCTTTCTTCTACAGCCGAATTTCGTGTCTGCACAGCCAATCTTTCAGCGAGAGCTTTTGTTGAGTGAGAAGGAAGGGTCGGCATCTCGAGATGTTACGCCAGTTGGATGTACTAAAATCGTCGTGCTGTGCAATTCGGAGATTCGGATCACATGGTCGGTGATGGTGCCATTCCTACTTGCTGTCGAGAACATTTTTGTCCCACAAAGGTTGGTTCGTTTTGAGCCGAATTGTAATCGACACTTAGTCCACAACGACAAGATCATAATGAGGTTTTGAATGCTATATCTTCAATCGTCAGAATTCACTCTTCCCTCGGCCTGACCATGGTCGAAAATTGAGTTCACTGCAAGTCTTCCAATTCTTACCCATTCCTAAGAGAGTTGCCACCTGCACATGCATTTGGACAATCAAACGATCAACTTTTCTCCACTTGCCCTCCGTCTTTAGACCTTCATGGGATGGGATAAGAGAAGGTGACGTCCAAGGACTGAAGCTTCGACGTCACCCAGTGCAGCTTCTGTGCGAGATAGAACAAGGAACTTGGAGTCACTTGGGCTGAGTGCAATGCAGTACTGGACTGGACTGGACTCGAATCAACAGTGGGTGGAAATCGGAGAGAGGTTGCAAGTCTGATTGTAAAATGCAAACGTCGCTCAGATTCTTGTCACACTTTCTCCACCATTCTCGACAGCAATGGTACAGAACCCTCATGACAAAGTTGGGACCATGCCGGCCTGACTACCAGCAAGCCCCGAGTCGACTATTTGATCTGCAATCTCTCATAGACACATGCGCATGATCATGGTCTTCGAGCCCACCGGCACAGGAGGCGATCTCCTGCTGCTGCAAACAAGTTCCTTCTGCTAGAGCATCAACTCACACCAAATTTCTCTGCCCTGTTTTGATCATTCTGCGTCCCTAGCCTCTGGAATCGTGAGGAACCAGCGCACAGGCGAGCATAAACGTCGATTCGTTCTCATCTGACATTTGCAGCTCCAGTGCCATGTTCTGCGTGTACGTTTGGGGCTTGGATCAGACCTTACCACAGTAGTAGATTCCATGTCGTCCAACTCTCGTTTCGTCTCCTGGAATCGCGACCGATCCAATTTGAGGACTGAGAAAGCGGTGGAATGGAGTCAGGTTTAGACAAGAACAGTCCATTCGCACCGTCCGAAACGCAGAAATAGCTCGGATCTCACGTGCTCCATGGGCACAGACATCGAAGACAGGGGCTTTCGAACAAGATGAGATCAGGGTCAGAATCAGAATCAGGGCAAGAAGATGAGCGACGCCGCAACGGCTGATCAGCGCTGAGTGCGGCACCGCTCGACACGATGAGCATGAGCGGACGGTGCGCCCACTCTTGCGTTCCGATCGCAGCAGGGAGAGAGCACGATGAATGCATCTGCACTCGATACAGTCGCGAGGGACCCAGCCGTCGCCGATCATCGCTCTGGGGCTTGCTCATGAACACCTCTGCTGTTCATCGTTGACGATGAGCGGTTGGGTCAGGGTGATCGATGGCAGCCCGGGCCATATGGAAAAACTAGAACCTGCTGCTTCTTCTTCTTCTCCTGCTCTTGCTCGTGTGTCGATGTCGGTGCTGCGTCCGAGGCTCTTCGAGAGACGAGCACCGATTGGATTCGTTCAGGAGCCGAGTGTGAGAGGTGGGGCAGGCGCAGAACGCCAGAGGAGGAGGAGGAGGAGGAGGAGGGGCCGAGAGAGATGACGACCAGGGATCCACTCTCACTCTGTAAGTGGACCGTGCTGATCTGACACTGCGAATCTCCGACTGCCTCGACTCGCATTCTCGATGTTCCGATTCGTTTCAAGAGTCCTGAGGATGATGATGACGGTGAATCTTGGCTCCACAGACGAAGGGATGATGCACATTGTTCGGAGTAGGAGGAAAACATGACAGAGCACACGGCATCGAACCTACCTCCAGCACCAGAAAACAAGGTCAGCGCGGCCACATTGAACCATATTTCGCCGTATTTTCTGCCAACGCACCGATCCTCTTAGCCAAAACACTCTCGAGAAGCAAATGGAGTCCAACGAGATTCACACCCAACAATACTCTTCATGCCAGGAATGTGATGCAATCGGACTAGAGATCCTCGTTGCAATCACTGCAATCGAGTCGATGCAGAGGATCTCCTCCTGATCCATCAGACCAACAGTGCAATAGAGCGGAAAGAGCATCGCCTGAGCCGATCGACCAAATTGAGCGAGAGAGCTCTGTACACACAATTCCCATGTTCTCCATTTCTCCATATCCCCATTTCTCCATTCCCCATAGTACGAGGGCCACGAAGAAGAATGACAGTCATGGACATGATGGACTCGATCACGGAGGCTGCGAGGCACCGAGCAGAGGACTGGCGGGACTCCGGGCAAGCACTGCTGAGGAGATTTCAAGCGTGGCGGGACTCGGCGTCTGAGAAGCTGCATCCATGCCTGCGCTACCCTCTGCTGGCTCTGATCGACGCAATCTACTGGTGCTCGGTGGGAATCGGCCTGCTGGCGCTGCTGCTGCTGGGGCTCGTGCTCCTCTGCGCCTTCTTCTTCATTGTCATGGCTCCATTTCTCGTCGTGGGCTCCTGGCTCAGCGCGTACCTGCTGCCTCCCGTGGACAGAGCATTCCGGCCGTCGCTGTATATGAGGCACGTCATTTTCGCGCTGGCCAGCGCGCTGCTCTTCGGCATTGTGTACAAGCTCAACGAGCTCGTCAAGAGCCAGAACCCGGATCAAAACCTGGCGGACTTGCTGAGCAATTTCACCGACGGGCTCGCTCTGCTGCCGTGGATGCTCGTCACGTACGCGTTGTGGATCGCCATCTCTGCCTGCTGCGTCGTGCTCACGTACGATATCACGCTGGCCGGAGCGTGGGGATTCGTGGCCGTCTCCTTCTGTCTCTACTACTTCTTCTTCTTCTGCTACCTGCTCATTCGCCATATCCCGTGGTATGTGCTGCTGCCCTTGGTCGTCCTGCTGCCCCTTTTCTTCATCAGTTTGCTTCGCCGGGTCAAGTCTGATCCACGTTCCGACGACGGCGAGCAGCCTTACGACCCTCCCGAGTCCATGTATGGTGAGGTTCAGAGCTGTGCACTGCCGTAGACCAAGTGAGCACTGCAGGCACTCACTCATAACCCTCCCCTCCCCATGGCAGACCGATGAAGAAGGCACATTTTATTCATTCTTATCATTCACAGAGGGTATCAGTATGCACGTAAATCTAGTGCAGCAGGCACCTCACCGCCCCTCACTCCCACGCTGTTATTATCTTGCCTTTGTTTCCTTCTTTTGCCAGTGAGTGAGAGAGAGTGCTGAATGGATGGAGTCATGGTCTAGTACCGGAGGGTGAGCAGAGAGGAACCATTTTGCAACACACGTACGTACATACATGGCAAGACAGACATGGCTCGCTGCCACTTGCTCACACTGGAGACCGACTTCAGTGAGCTGACATGTGGGGAGGAGGAGCAAGATTCACGAAGAAGCAAGGTGATGACGGTGAACAATCTGTCAACGAGCAAGACTGTGCGCGTGCGAGTAGGCGGGCAGGTCTGCGATTGGAGCTCTTCTTCGATCGTGAATCATACTACTGCATACAACTTGGCTCAGCAGCGGTCGATTTGTGTCCGAAAGGTTCTTCGAGTGGTTTAGACTCTTCATTTTTTGTTGTGATGACCGAGAACAGACTCATTGCAAACTCGGCTTCTATGACAACCCCGCCGCTGTCAGCCGTACAGCCTGTCCGACGAGTACTCCTCTGCCTGCAGCCTACCGTACTGTCATTCGCTAGACACCATCGTTGCTAGCCTCAGAAGCATGCTTAGTGCACTGGTGTTGCCCAACGATGGAGGTCTGAAATTGGATTCGGTAAACGGCCAACTGAAGACACCCTTATACTGTAAGATATTCCAGACCTCAATTGCATCCAATGACCCTTGTACATTTTCGCGGCATTCAACTCCGCCACCCTTTCAGTTCTCTGGATGTGCGAATTGCACGTATACAGCACGGTCGGGTCTTGATGGTCAAAGACGATACGAGCGTGCACACTTATTCGACTACGGCCGGCTCTTCCGGTTGGTTTAATAATTGATCCAGCAAATGCAACACACTGATTCTCCACTCGACTTGTTCTGCAGTGAAATTATTTTGGTTATTATACTTGAACCTTTCCATTGCTTCAGACTGAGTAACTGCTAGGGTAAAAAACTTCTCGTACTTTAACGCATGGTTTGATGAAGGATGCCAAACGTTCGTGATAGAAACTATGCTGATGCATATCACTGACCGATCCATATAAACTACGCGAGCTAGACGGACCTTCGACTCACATGGAATCATAAAATCGATGCGACACTTTCGGACCCCGCTTGTCAGAAAAACCATTGATTCTCACTCCTACTCTATTAAATCACTTCAGTCCTTACAGACGCAAGCAGGATGAGTTCTAGAAACGACGTTGAGTTGAATTAAAGAATTAAAAACGTGGTGCTAAAAATCCGATACTGTACAATTTCTCTACTGAAGTTAATATAGTCCTGCGCCTATAACTTAGCGCCTAAATAATCCTAGTCCAGACCTAGATATGGGAGGACGTACATGCATTCTAAGAAATCCCCACATTTTGGGAGTGTACGGTTGTATCATTGGTCGAACAATGCTACGAGGAAACAACGAGGCCCTGCGACATGCAGTATTCTCTTGCCTTCACTAACCTCTCAATTGCGAAGTCACCGCAACAGAGCTATATGGGTCCACACGTCCTCCCCAAGGCAACTGAGATCGAAAAGATGGGCCTGGTCTAGCTACCAAGCTTGCAATCATTTTCTTGCAAGATAATAATACGCTCCTCTCCATCCGTAGAAGCAAGATACCTACAGTGACACGACAGCCAGTGCATGTCTGCTGGTCTCTTTCTCTGCTTCTCGCGATGCATGCATATCACGCTCCTTTTGACCCCTAGATCCTTGCTCGTACTCAATCCTCTTCTTTCGCTGGTTACGGCTGCAAACTCGCATGAATGTGTCTCGTTAGGAGAAGGTCCATTCTATGGCAGATCTCTGCGTACAACGACTTTCGAAACCAGTGCATTTCGACACATCTTTTTACCACAAATGGAACTATCACCTGATTAGAGATACCGTATTCCGCTCTGATACTAGACATACCGATGGGTGAAAAATGCGAGCAAAGAGTATCTACATCAATAAACAACGAGGCGAAACCAGACATCACTTACCCTGATTTAACACGAGGTTCCAAAATACCACGACGCTGTAAACTTTTGAATCTCTCTCGGGCAAGAGTATAGCATCCCTATACGCAAAGAACAAACGTCATAAATACTCGATCTTGTCCGAAACAAGCAAACGCGCACAAGACCCAGAAATCTCTCCTACAGATTCAAAGTGACATCCATTTCCAAGGTCAGGCTTTGATAAGTTTGTGTGAATGCTTGAGCTCTACAAAGAGTAAATTCCATACCCAAAGTTTGTCTACTCACTTTGATTTGCCTCAAAGACCCGGTCACCTCCTCCGTGAGAAGGACCTGAACAGGAGCTGGCTTAAATCTGGCACACGAAATTTGACAGTCAATAAACTGTATTCATGTGTATGTGCCTTAAATTTTACAAAAATCAAAGCTGAAAACTCGAAAGCTGATACAACAGTTTGTACTATATAGACGGATACTATGTAGTTACACAGTATCCGTCTACTACCAGTACAAACTGCACTCGTCTAGCTGTGCATGCGTTCTCTACAATCTCCACAAGGAAACTTACTTGTGCTTTCCAAGCCGAGGTGGTTCGTGTGCCCGCCTTTCAGCACGAGCTATCTTCCGGCGAAGACGAACCTTCTCAGCCTCGTCGTTCTGATTCGTAATATCTTCAATAATCTCTGGTAGCCTAATTCGATAAAACGACATCCAAATTTGTCAATCTAAAAATACTGGTTTGGTGAGCGTGAGTAGCAGAATGTCTGGTATCAGCGTGATCTTCTGCCCTTGAGCTCATCACTAAAGAAGACAAGTTCTAGTCTTGAAGCAGGCACTGGGAACAAGAGAAGGAAACGCATGCATAAAAACCCGATGAAAAAGCATCGAACGCGGTACACAGCAGAGGTTAACAAAGGACAGAAGAAACCGAGCCAGAGAGCTAAAGGAACTGCAGGTGAAATTTGCATCTCTAATGTCGCGTGAATGCAATTCATGAGTATGATAGTAACGGGATCCAAGACAAGTATAATCAAAGTCATCCATTTGGGAGCAGGAAAGAATGATATTGTTATATTATATGAAATACTTCAGACAGCGTAGTTGCGTATTGCTGTTTCATCAAGCCTGTTGGTTCGTCTAAAAGGTCTTACCTCAACACATCCTTCTTCAGCTTTAGCTTTTCTCTCTTCTCCCGCTCAACTCGGACATTTGCACGTCTTCTTTGTATTCTATTCAAATCTGCCCTAGTCAGCTTTTTGACCTTCACTGCCCTGCAGCACAGGAGACAAGAGCAACGCATTGAATTAGCTTTCCCAATCTTTGGAACTCTCAGAGGTAAATACAATCTTAGGAAGATCATCCCAAACAATTGCCTCTCCGAAGTAAAATCCTAAATAGTCACTACCGGTCGCCGTAAAAGATGTTAGCTTTGTTCTTTTAAAGCTTAGTACTCGATCAGAACCTACCCGGGTTCCTTCAATCGTAACACCTGTTGAATATAATTACCTTTTTCTTTTCATTTTCTGAAGTGTATACCTCATTACAAGTTGGAATAAACACCCACCCACATATACTTTACTCTCTCAATAGATGCAATGTCAAGAGCAAGAGGCATAAGAAGTAAAAATAAGTCCAAAAATGAAACTAACCTGGAGCCTGCAGAAGGCCCATCTCCAGCCACAACCGTGCCTTCATCTTCCTCTTCATCCTCGTCGTCAGCATCAGCATCAAGAAAGAAAACCTGGTGGGCAATTGTAACTCAATTACTTAGATGATGAGATGTAAAGCTGCTCAGGCTTAACTTGTATTAACCTCGGCAATGCAAAAATAGAAGAACTACATACACTCGTTTCAGTTAGTATTTACTGCAGGATATGAGAAGCCAAAACCACATAAATGAAACGACAGTAGAGTACAAGATAAGCTGTGTGTCTACTGCCACTTACGTCCTCCTGTTCTACCGGGAAGCCATGAACATGAACGGTCTTGGGAACTCTTGGTGGCTCCAAGTCTTTTTTATAAACTTTCTGCATCTCCTGAGCAACTGCTAACCCTAACGCATCCTGCATTTGATAACCTAAGGTCAGTCATTTCTTAAAAAGGGACTGGAGAACAAAATGTCTTTCGAGCTTAGATAAGGTTTAGTTCAAATTTCAAGAAACTGTCTTTCGAGCTTAGATCCAAAAAAAGCGTCCAGATAATTTTCCGGATCTTTACACTGCCAAGAAGAACACTTCAGTACTCAAAGTAACTGGGCTGATCAACTTACTTGATGGTCCTCAAAAGTAGGATTGTATGAACAGCCAGGTGCATCTATTTCAACGGCGGGAACTTCGACAGGAGGGGCTGATTTGGCCAACTTCTGCATCTTTTTCTTCCCAGTCTGCGGATTTTTAAACAAACTGGGTTAAAAGTGCGCCGCATTGTAGTAACATTAGACATTTCGTTAGGATTCAGAATATAAACAGAAAAGTCAAGGAGACGAACCTTTGGAATAAATGTGTTTTCATCCAAGGTTTCCGTTCCATGCCCTGCAATGCACCCAGAGTTGATACACCTCTGTAAGGTGAGAATCTCATGTTACTATCAAATACAGTTGCGAGGAATATGTAATATTTTTTGGATCCAAGGTATGACTCAAAACGAATTGTGTGGCCTCCAGACAGTGGATGCCAATCTACGATTTTACGTAGATTATAACCTATGCCAAAGAAGTGAAGACGCATGCACAGCTATGAAACCATCCATGGGTTGCCACATAATCGAAGTTATCTCCGACTAGATGAAGACCCATGGAGAAGAAATACTAACCTGCTTCCCAAACGTCGGCGGAAACAGCCATTTCTTCTTCTCCGTCTCCTCCGTCCTGTCACATTCCCAGAATCTTCAAACTGTAAGACAAACACCAAACATCCATAACACTTGCTAGATTGCGAAATGCCTCCATTTGGACTTGACGGGCACCCTGATCCGACTGAGCAATCAGCTCAAAAGATTCGCTACCGACACAGAAAGAAGAAATCTACACGTACTCGAAAATTCATTACCTGAGCAACGACTGTCTCGAGAGCTGACTTCTTTTTGCTTGGAGGCTTAGCAGTATCACGGTCTTTCCGTTTGCGCTTTGGCTTCAGAGGCGCCCTGAGAGGTGGAATTAACGAATTCCTTTGCAAAACGCTGTCACAATGCAGAATTTTCTCCCTGTGCTTCTTGGTCTTCCTCTCGATTGTGACATCTGAATTTGTGGTTCACCATCACGTACACAAAAAACAATTAGCCCAGAAAATAAATAAATAAGAAAATTCCAGATTCCAGATTCGGAACCTTAACTGCACTCAAGACCGGCGTGATAAGCGTGTAAACCGAAGTGATTACCACTGCATAAGCACAATCCAGCACTCTCACTGACCAACTTCTCACATACCGACTGGCTTCTGATTTCACATGGAAAACATTGCAATGTACACCTTAACACAGCTGATGCCCGTACCTTTCGATTTGTCTACAAAAAAAAGGGAGTCGTCCGGAACGGCGTCCAAAGGACCTCCACTCCTATCTTCAAGTGCCTGTCTCGTTATGAAATCATCCGTATCGGCGGTACTGATGTTTGCCCGCCATGCTTTCTTCCCTTTCCTCGAAGTCTTGGCCCTCTTACCCATCTTCGGCTACTACTCCCTCCCTCAGAATAGTAGCACCAAAGGGCTTCACGGTGACTAGATATAAATCTCACTCGAGCGCTATCGAGAAATTCTGCACCGAAAGTGCTTCGAGTGTCTCGATCGCTGTCTCGCTCTTTCGTCCGTCACAGTTTCCGTGCTCTGCTCTGCTCAGTCCGGACTCGCGCGAAGGATTGCAAAAAGACAGAAAGCCCTAAACCTCCGAATGTGGTTGGGTCCGACTACAACCCTAAAGGCTTTACCGACCAGGTTGATCTCGGCGACTGCGTACAAGGCGAGGTTTTCATCTGCGTTCATTATTAACAGGCTACTCGTCCGTTGTGGGCCTCGCGGAAGTACAGCTGTCAGCGAAGATGTCACTTCCCCGGTTTCGATCGTTGTCAGTTGGCCTCAGCCTTAGAGGGCGAGAAATGGGAACGTCCACGGTTTCTCGTTCACCAGACGTGCATCTTTGCGCTTGGGTCAATGACGCAGTTAGTGACTTCAAACCGAGACGCGTCAATTGCTGGTTGAAAACTATTTCCATTTCCATTTGCATCCCGTACTTCTCTGCGAAATATTGCAGAGAGCTGTACAAACGACCGGAGCAAGCGATCATCACTTCAGCTATACTGCGGAAGAATTCTGATCCCCTTCACTTTCACTACTCACGAGCAATAGTGTCTTTCGCTCAATTTGCCGCCGTGTCATTGTGTGGGTCATGGTACATAGGAGGGTTGTTTGAGAGGTTACTACGCTTCACAACCCTTCACCACACTATCTGTACTGGTCCACAATAATTGAGTTCGATCGAATATTTTTTGAAAGCGCACAACATTTCAAGTTGGCTTCTATCAGTGTCAACATGTCCTCTCTTATCATGGAGTGAATGAATTTTGCACATTCTGGACTTTGACGTATGTTGCTGCACTCCGTTGATTGCAAACTTTCGTCCTTGGCTTTTCCATGATGGTTTTCAGAGTTTATTGCAATGTAGTTTCAAGCGTTGTAAAAGCCTTAGATGAAGATCTTCATTGTTGTGTGATAAATCAACCTCAGGTTTCAAAGCACTTTCACAACTTAAAGACGGAACGGATTCCACATTTCAGAACCTAATTGAAATTACTGGTGAGTTGGATTTTGGAGAACATAACAGAAGCTAGGATTCACAGTAATTACTACTACATACTGTTCCCGTGGATGGGAGTTGGATGTTGGAGTATCTAGTGACTTCGAATGTGGACTATTATCTAGCCTTATTCTTTCTATTTGCTCCATAGAATCTCTTTTTGTGAACATGACTTTCCACACAAAAAAATTATCCTTCTCCGATACATCTCTACACAAAGATATCCTTTAAGAGATCTTTATTTGCCATGGTTCTTCATGAAAGTCATTTGTAATTTACTTTGGACATACATGGCTAAAGTCACAGCATACATTTAAGTCTTTATTGATCACATTAGATGACCTTTGATTACTTTGCTGTTGAGAATCTAATTGAGAATAAAGTTTTCCAAATGCTTACCCGATTTAACATCATAGTATTTATCACAAATTATTCCGATGTCTGCTGTTTGGTACTCTCACATGTCAGTTTACCTACATCGTGTTCACTTTCAGATTACTTTAATCGTGAGAGGTTGACTTTGATACATTTGTGGATGCTTTAGGACTAAGGGTGTAAATATTTCAACTCCACATAATTCTCTACGCTTGGGAAGTTTCGTTGATATGGTTTCCTTCCTCTAGCTTTTTGAAATTATGATAACACTCATGCATTAATAACTTTTTCGATCACCGCGTATAAATGTATCATAATATTTGATTGCAAATTATTCCACCAAGCAATTTTCTTAAATGGTTTATTTTCATATGTCACTGCGCGCACGAGCCACGCTCCAGTTTGCTATATTCCTCCGGAGTCCGCGTGAAGTCCGATGTACGCCAGAATGGCTTGTACGGTGCCCCGCGCACACCTTCACATGCATTGCCATCTGCGAGTTTGATGACCGCGCCCGTCCGGCAGCCCTCGGACTCGGGAACAGTTGTTGTAGCCGCTAGCCTTCCTCGCAGATATCTTGTTCGTCGCCCAACGTCTCCACTTCACCTGCATTCGGGATTCTATCACACATGCTGCTCGTATTCGTATGCATCGCCTCCTGAAATCCTTCTCCTGTTTCTTTATTATTCCTACGACATTGCGGACTCGGTTCTAGCCACTATTCCTGGTTTCGGATCACATTGACTCTACTTTGCGGAAGTTATATTCACTGAAGAACTAGGCTTCGGAATTTTCATTGGTTAGTTCTCTTCATTTGTACATATTTTATTCTTGAAAGGAATGAAAAGCTACCATAAAAATTCTGCGTATATTTTACAACGTTCTACAATATAGTTGTTTAGGGTTAAGTTGATAATGACGGTTAAATCCTTAACATTCGTTTGACAACTATATTGTCACATAATAACAAAATTATAAATTAGGGATTTATCATACCCTTTCACTATCATTGAATATTTACACTTAGATCTCTAGTTTAGAGTCAAATATTTGATGGTAGTAAATATTACATCCCTACCGTTCGACAATATAATATTTTTTATTTGTCTATATTTTATAATATTTTATTTCAGTAAAGTATGAAAAACTCATATTGAAAACTCATATTTTTTACAACATTCAAATTTACTGATTTACCCTTCACTGCCATTGAATACTTACACTGAAATTAGGGATGGAAACTAAATTTTTAGTTTCAACACAAATATTTGATGATAATAAAAATGAAATTCCTCACATTCAACAGTATATTTGTCAAAAAATAACACAATACAAACTATAACTATCATGGTATACTTACTCTGAAACAAGGGATGTAGACTAGATCTCTAGTTTCTACCCAAGTGTGTGATGGTAGTGAAAATTAAATTTTTAATGTTTAACAATATAGTTGTCAAAGAATAACACAAATTATAAACTTTCACTACTATCATAAACTTACACTGAAACTAATGATCGCTACTAAATTTCTAATTTCAATGCAAGTAGTCTGAGATAGTGATGGTTAAATTCTTAACATTTGACAATATAGTTATCAAAAAGAACACAACTAATAAACCTTCACTATCATCGTAACCTTACAATGAGACTAGAGATCTGAATTAAATCTCTAATTTCTACGCAAGTTTGTGGTGGGTTTGGAGATTAAATCTTTAATGTTTGACAATATAGTTGTCAAAGAACAACAAAACTTATAAACTTTCACTACCTTTGCATATTTACATTAAAATTAGAGATTGATTCTAAACTTCTAATTTTGACGCAAGTATGCAATGATAATGAAGATCAAAAATATAGTTATCAAAGAAGATCACAACTTACAAAAGCTCAATATTATTGTAAAGTTACAATGAAATAAAAAATCGAATAAATCTGTAGATGGACGCAAGTATGTGGTGGTTATGAAGATTAAATCCTTAGCGTTTGACAATTATATTGTCAAAGACCAACAAAAAGTACAAATTTTCACTACCATCGCATATTTACACTAAAATTAGGTATGGCGACTAAATTTGTAGTTTTGATACAAGTATGCTTTGATAATGAAAAATACACTCCTAAAATTTAACAATATAGTTGTCAAAGAACAACAAAACTTATAAAACTTCAAAAATTATAAATGTAAACTATCATCTACATAAACTCACACAACAACTAGGAATCGATACTAGATTTCAAGTTTTTTCTTATCAAATTTAATAAGATTTTTTTGAAGAATTTAAAATTATGAATGGTTATGAAATTGGATTTAAAAATTTGATCCAAATTTGAAATTTAAAATAAGAATTTAAATTCAAAATTGAATTTCACATTTGAAAATTTGAACTAAAATTCAAAATCTCATCTCAAATTTAAAACTTTGAACTGACTTTTGAAATTCAAACTGAATTTTGAAATCATAATTTAAATGATTAGCGTTGAAATCTGAAATTTAAAATAAGAATTTAACTTCAAAATTGAATCTCAAATTTGAAAATTTGTACTAAATTCAAAATCTCATCTCAAATTTGAAACTTTGAACTGACTTTTGAAATCCAAACTGAATTTTGAAATCATAATTTAAATGATTAGAATTGAAATTTGAAATTGAATTTCTCATTTGAGATTAAACATAAAATCTGGAGTAAAATTTGATTGTAAAGTATTGAAATACTAAAATCTTCTAGCAATAGAATCCTACCTCTAAGTCAATTGTCGACTGAGAAAAAATTAACTGTGAAGAGATTGGTTTTCACTATAGAAATTATAAAATTGCAACCAATGAACATTGTAAACGTAGTCAAACTTTCGATTGATTGAAATAAATCTGGGTTCAAGAGTAAAGTACAAAATGATGTGAAAAACCTTCATACTTGAAAAATCACCTACAATTATAAAATCAACAATATGTTGACATTGACGTCTTGAAGTGAATTACCACAAAAAAATGATAGTGTTATAGTTCATTTCAACAGTGGCGCTTCATTCATGAAATTAATGAATGGCATGAATATCAACAAAGAACCTGTATTGTATATAGGTCAAAGTCAAAGAAAGAAAATTCAAATTATCAATTGTACATTAAATCATTTTTGTTACCGATTGTAGACGCTTCAACTAGTAAGGAATTTTGAAAAAAACTATTACTTATCATTATTTTTGCACAGTCACATCATTGATCGAAGATACAAATTTGATTGATGCAATCAAAAGGTTAAGGTCGGATGACGATCTGTTGCCTAATTGCAAAAAATTAACCAATGATTTGTTAGCTTTATGTTAGGATGAGATGAAAGAGAGATGCATTGTAAAATTATTAACTTTGTTATCGCACGTTTGTTTAGTGACTGACACTAAGTTTAATATTTGGAGTGAATCCATATTAAATTACGTGGCATTATGTTCAGTCAGCTTAGTTTTGGACTCAGTATACATTGACATACACACAACTTAATGAATTGCTTAAGACATTAGCCGTATTGTCAAAAAACATCCAAACATGATCTTCATTGGCGCCGTTACTTATAATACCTCGGCAAATAAAAAGTCGTGAATGTTGTTAAAGATTAAATTTCTTGATAAATTCTTTCAAGAATGTATTTTGCATGCTCTGCAACTTATAATGATAAATATTTTTCATGCCACAAAGATACGGAAAGTACTAAATATTGTTACAACTTATCCTTCTAGCTATTCGTAACCATCTATAGTTAGTTTAAACTAAAGTAGAGGTTATTCAAGATGAAATTATAGTAATTTTAGCATGCACTAATCATAACTACCACATCAAGGAGTCGCGTGCGATGATAACATCAGGTCAAAAATCCATGTGCTTGTTAGGTAAAGATTGGATCTGTTAGTTGATAATGTCACGTAAGCGATCTGTGTGCTTGTTAGGTATAGATTGGATGTGTTAGTTGATAACGCCATGTCAGCAATCCATGTGATTATTGAGGTTTTTTCTTCACGTCTCCATCCACTATGAGTGCAATGGATGTTGGGAATGAAAAATTATCTCCTTGTACTTGTTGGTAAGAGATGAATAAAAAGAGAAAAGACATTGTTGATATCCCTCATTTTCAAAGTTTATTTTTTCATCTTCAAATGAACTTGTCTTAAAAACCCTAATGTTACACTATACATTTAAGAATCTCTTGATTTTTGTCAAAAAGTATAAAGATGTTGTCATATTCTTTGATAATCATCATGCTATGAAAGCGAAATTGAGAACCATGTAGATGAATGAAAACATAACTTCTTTGATTAAGTCTACGCCAACTAGATGAGGTTCACTTCACCAATGCTTCAACTCAATACTAAAGTCAAAAAAGTTGTTATTTTTTATAATTTTCAAAAGTTACTTTATTGATGGAGCTGCTAGTGAAGCATAGAAAATTGAATGCAATCTTATCAATGAAATTATCATAGATGTCCCATTTGTTATCCAACTGAAGAAATGTTTGAATGTTTTTGAGACAATCGATAAACTTATAGTCAAACATCAATCGAATATTGTATTTTTGTGAAGCATTTTTCCAAATTTTTATCAATTTTCAAAAAAATTTGCTACGTCATTCATTGACTGGTTGATTTCATTTGAAGAATTACAGCATCTGGTTTTGTTATTCTCACAGCGTTTCCAATTTATGTAAGGTGATGCACATGATCTTGTTTATCTAGGTGAAAGGTTCAATAATGCACAAGATGTTTTAATAAATCTATCTCATGTTTTGATATCACTTTTCAAAGATAAGAAGTAAGATTTGTGCATGTAACATGCAGAGATTATAATTACAGCGTCAATAAGAAGATCAATAACTCGTTACGATTGAGTATGTTCATCGATTGACGCAAAACACCATTGAGATATTGCTTAGCCGATGATTACTCTTGAAAAGATTTACAAAGCATAGCAATTCAAATTTTCAGTATGGTATTGTAAAGCGTATCTTTGGAACGTAATTTCTTTACGTTTGGATTTGTTCATTGGAAATATTGCAATAATATGTTCATTGAAACACTTGAGAATTTGATGTTCATTAACACAAACTGTCAAAGTATAACAGTAAAATAGTATTATTTTTTGATTTTGATATCGATAATAGTTTAGTGATCCACTGTTTTACAATTTCTAGAAGAAAATACTATTTTCAATAGTTTACAGTTAGCTGTTGCAAACACATTAAAATTGTGGATTACAATATCAGTTAAAATCATGAGAGTACTCTCAATATTCAGATTTTTTTATGTAATTTCTTGAAATTGAAATTAAATTGGAAATCAATTTTGGATTCCATTTGTTAATATGGGTTTACTGTAAACTGTACTCATTGTCAATAAGTTTATAATTTCCATTGGAATTAATACGAAGATAAATTTTTTATTTAATTTCTTGATTTTGGGTTTACTGTAAACTCTTTATATTGGATAAGATCGACGAATTGAGGTTTGGTTCAACTCTATTAATCGATAATTTAACGTGTGAATTGAAGATGAATGGAATCTTTCCAAAACATTTGCGGTGAGTATACTTGGTATGGGTAAAACTAGTTGTTGCATTATATGTGGAGCTCTGAAACGTATCTTCAATATGATGAACGATAGTTCCAAAATCTTTTGGATGTAACACGGTCAGTAACAAGTACGAGTACATATAGTTGAGGAATATTGAATTAGAGTTGAAATGTAGGGATCAGACTTATCCCACGCTATGAATGTATGGTGCCGACCAAGAATCAAGGTAATCTCGGTGAAGATAGAACCTGAACTTTCTCAGAAATCACTATCTGACTCAAGGACTTGAGTATAAGAGGTTATGAACTCAATTGCGAATCGACCATTTTGGTCAGCGAAAAAGCAAAACACGAAATGAGATGAAGGGCAATGGATAGAGGAGTAAAGTCCCACCAAGCACGACAGAACACGCAATGAATATCTCTTTCTCAAGAATGTGGTACCAGGGGCGACAAAGATAAATGATATTTAACAGAACAGAGTTACAATCTCCGTTGAACAATCGGCAATCGGCAACCTCCGTTGATAGTTCGTTAGATTACCACGGTTGAAATCGGGTTGTTTAAAAGTTTTATGAAAAACCCGAAATTGCTTATAGGAATAATCACGTTTTCCCCACCCGTGGAAAACACACAAAGCAAGCGTGGAGCCATGTGGATATTAACAATGATGAGGTAGTTTTGGATTCTGGTTTTGTACCTCAATTCAACCCGATGGGTTGGTTGGATAGGCTCTCCGCGTACAAGAAAACACAAGGACATAAGGTTACATCCCAATAACATCGTGATCTCATCATCACAATTCATGGTATGCAAACGAGAGTGACTAACTCTCATAATAATTCATCGTACCACATAATAGCCATACTCGGCCGACGTACTTACTCAGGAATCTCGACTCGGTCCTTCCTTTTCCTTCGTGTTTCGGTTGCGCTATTCCAACCTAGTTCCCACGATCCTGCTTCGCGATAGGATATCTCCAGTCAATATTGTAGAAGATTTTTACAATCTACCTTACCCGGACATAGCCCGTTTGAGTCTCCTCGGATGCTTCCAGCTGACACCGGCAATGTCTCTGCGTATGATACATTGCCTCGACTGAATTTGCTCATCACAACAAAACATTTAACCCTTTACATACTCTCTTCTCCTCTCTAACACATACGCCGCTATGACAGCACGTCTTCTTCACCTTTTCATACGAGCCAAATTAATATATTGTTAATCGGCTGTTTCTGAAGTCCAAAAATGTCTTCAGTTGTTGAAGAGCTAGTTCTGGTACCTTCAAACATTGACAAAGACGACAGGCGTAGACTTCCAGAGAGATTGGCAGCTAAACTCAGTCTTTATTAGGTTGTCGAGAAAATTTTCCTGATGAATCTTTCAACAGATATCGTTGCCGTAGTATTCTACATGTTTTAATGAAAAGAGGAGAGAAACAAAGCATCCCTGACCAAACTCGATACTCTGAATGTGGGTAACCCGGACTTTTAGCTCCGACTATAAGGGCAATTCACCCATCATTTGTGAAACCCACCATCCTTCGATGCTGTATTACGCGAGGGGGAAGTAGGGCAAAACTGGACCAATGGCCGCCTTTTGATCGTGACTCCAATCTCACTGACTTATTGCACATTGTAGTACGAGTCGATAATAGCATCAGCAAGATAACTGCACTTAGCCAGAGAAAGTCCAGCCAAGGAAATACGACCATCCTTGGTCATGTACACGTGCCACTTGTCCGACATATTGTCACTCTGCCCACATGACATGCACGTGTTGTGTTAGAAAGTTGACGATCCTCTTGTATCGTGCTAACCTCGTCCCGACCCACTTAAAAAGCAAAATTTCCCCCAGATTTCCACTCATAGAGGCAAAGTTTAAACTGGAATTCTCCTTCGTTCGGGCGTGCGAAGATTCCAAAAGCATCTAACATATAGTAAGACAAGAGGCCAAAACCTTTGCGTATACTATCTACACAACCTGATGGAAGTAGCAATATTTTATTTTAAAAAGTTTCAACAGTATATGTTATGAGGACCAGGTTTGCAGCCTACCTGCGCCCTGTTGAGACCAGTGAAAGAAAACATGCCAATTTGCTTGAGCACAAATGACCAATCTTTGCCGCTCTTGTCCTTGGTTGAGAGATCGTCATACAGTCTTTGTCTGACGGTTTTGATGCGTCCAGCCATCATTTCCATCTCGGCTCTCCATTCATCGAAAAGTGCGGCATCTCCAACGACGTTTGCAACAATTTTCGCACCGTGAACAGGTGGATTCGAGTACATTGGCCTTGCCAGTCTCTTCAACTGACTCTTAACCCTACGCCAACGACAAATGAAATTCAAAAAACTTCATAATATCTTGAATAATATATCCCGATTCGTACGCGTGACCATGTCATCAAATAAACCTTTCCATTGTTTGTGTTTCAAAACTAGGCACTGAACAATGTAAGTATGTTTCCCACCTGACAGCAACATCCGAAGAGTGCACAACCGCATTGATAGCTCCGATTCGCTCAGCATACAGACCCAAATTCTTGCTGTAAGATTGTGCGACCAAAATCTCAAGTCCACGCTTCACAAAGAGTCTGACGGAGTCGGCGTCTTGATCAAGGCTCCCGCTTGCAAAACCCTGTCAGAGGTATTAAAAATGAATTAGAAATTTCAGAACGCCGTTGTATACTTCAAGCTTATCACTCCCAACGCAAGGCTGGTAGAAGACGATGAAAGTACGTGGTTTAGAAAGTACAAAAAAAACATGTTCACCTTATACACGCACTGCAGCCTCAAGTCATGCGAATAACGAGAAGCCGTTGTAGTGAAAGTACCAACTTCATTTGTCTAGGTGATGCATGTTCTACGCCCGAACACTTCTGAAACAGAAGAAATTACCTGGTATGCGACGTCGAAAAAGGCCATGTGTCCTTTCTCCTCAATAAGGTCGGCGATTTTCTCCCATTGCTCTGGCGTTGGGTCAATTCCCGTTGGGTTGTGGGCACAACCGTGCAGAAGGATGAACGAGCCACTGGGAGCGTCCTAAATTTATGCAGAGCGTGGAAGAGTCAGTCCTTGGAAACTATGCCCAGACAGTGGTAAACAGCTGGCAAGGGACAGTACAAAAAAAGGATACCAAGGATTTGCTCTGCACCTTGATATCTGCCATCATTCCTTCAAAATCAAGCCCCACGGTTTTCGGCTCAAAGTAACGGTACTCCGACCATGGCACACCAGCGTCGTTGAAAATATTCTTGTGATTTCCTATGGGTCACCCAGAGGAAGAACTTTATAAGTCATTGGTGAACGAGTCCACAGACCGGCAGCAGATGGAAAGAAAAAACTGCAACCGCTTTGATGTTCTGTTGTGCTCCCATCCAGGTGGTTGCAGTCAATTACGCCTTCCAGTACCCGTTCAGAGGATACACCAATATTGAGTTTCACATCGAATTCTTAAGTGCAGATGACTCCAGCAAAAAAAACAAATAATCCGAAACCATACGGTTGAAGAAAGTGTAAATGCCACATTTAGAGAGTACACTTAGAACTGGAAGAAACTCACCCCATGTTGGTGATGAGATCAAAACCTTGGCACCAGGAAAGTATCGCTGAATGAACGCAGCACCAAGACGGAGAGAGCCAGTGCCAGAGAGCCCTTGCACAGTTGCTACCTAAAATTCATCGAAAGTGATCGTATTAATATTAATCTGTCCCACGCAAATTGCACGGAATTCTCAAGGACGTCACTAAGTTCCTACACACGTATCAAAATGGCCACATCAAGCGCAACTCGCTTGCGTCTTGCAAATCAAAAAGCATACATTGGACAATTCCATCGCCATTGACACCTACCCGTCCTTCCTTAATGGCAGGAGAATCGGCACCCAGTAGAAGTTCCGCTGTGGCTTTGTTAAAGGCGGCAAGACCCTCAATTGGAAGGTACTGCATAAAAACAGGACGCAAATATATCAGAATTTTACAACACTCGTACCGAGATCGCGCGTGGTGCTAAAAGGCAGAATATAGGTTCGAACCTCAAACAAAAAGTGTGTGGAAGTTCCCGCTGGGAAAAGGAATATACAACGGTCAGAATAAACAAACTTATGATAAAGTATTTGTACCTCTTTGTTTTCGCCAGACTCCAGCATCTTCTTTTCTGCCTGAAATACATGACCACTCTCTGTATTCAGGAAAACAACTAACAAATAGAATTCATTGAACAGGAGTGATTAACCATAGACTACAATACCTGACTGGAAAGAACACCATAACTGGAATCAATGCGACCAAAGGTAGCTTGTTGAGGTACTCATGATGGTCTTCAGTCAACTCACTTCATGTTATGATTATTACTTCAGGCTACTTATCGATAAGGAGAGACGACAAATACATGATCTTGCAGCAATCTCTATACCTTTTTGACAACGTTCAATACTAGTGGCTGCAGTTCCTCGGTACGGTAGGCGCCGACACCAAGGTTCAGCTTGGCATCACTGGTGTCTGCCCTGAATGCTTCAGAGACACCCAAAATTGGATCAGGCGGTGCCATTGTCACGGCCTCGAATTTCGATACTCCTGCTGCCAACGTCATTGTCGTTCTCGAGTTCGACTGCACATGTACACGTCGAGCCGCAATTAAATATTATTGCTTGAATCCAAAACACTGTATTTGTAATATTTTACACAATTAGACGACAGTGCTCCGGATTGAGCAATTTGAGCTTGCCGCCTCAGTTTAAAGATCGTACAAATTCACAGGTAGCTATCCACTCCGATTGAAGGTTGAGCAGATGTGAAAGCAGAAGCAGTAGCCCAGTACAGGTCAAAAGACATACTAACCTTCACAAATAAGGGCGTGCTGACAACTTTTTGGCCAGGGAAGGCAGCGCCTCTCAAGCCTGAGAACTGCCTCTGCGAGAATCATGTTAAGGATTAATGTCACCTAAGTCACTGTCAGACTCCAATTTGCAGTATAGATTGTCTCAGCGGAAGGAGCCAACGCCAATCACACAATTGCATCAAAAAATGACTTGTACATTGTAACGACAAGATACAGAAGTACACGGTTTTGCAAACTACACGGGAAAACTGCCTTCTGGGCTCTGATTTCAATATTAAAGCACCACATTGGTTAAATTTGATGGTCAGATGTTGCAGATACAGTATCACTGAAGCTAATCAGATCAAATTTATTTCAAAAAAAGTGGAGAGGCAAAAAGAGTCGTCCAGTTGAGCCCAACGACATACTCACTTTCACAAACGAGGTAGTGCTGACCACCTTTTGACCAGATACGCCTGCGCTAGTCAAGCCTGACAACTGCCTTTGAGGAACGAAAGTCTGGAAAAAAAACGCATGTGTAAGTACCCAAAAACAAATCAAATGGTAGCGAATTGTCTACAGGGTGAGAAAGTACAGAGGAAATGTATGGAGGCAGCTTCACCAACACACTGCATGTCAATTGTCATGGGCTCATTCCAGGCCACAACTAGGAAGACTCCCCAGCCTTTGCAGTATCATCGCAGATCTCCACTGACTATCGGCCTTGAAAGAATTTATCTCGATGTGCTGAGAAGAAACTCCTCAGACTCGCAAGGCTTTTGATGCAGGTGCTTGATACATTCATTGATGTGCTCGCTGGATTCACGGAACAATATATATACGAAGGAGAAGTGTCCGAAGGTAGACCGACAAAGCGAAAAACCGGGAACCAACCCCAAACCCGGGACGGAAGTTTTATCGGCTGCCCGGTGTGAAAACTGACGTGAAGAGAATTAGGACCTATCTCAGATGATGAAAGCTTCAGTAGATGTGGGTAGCGAGATTTACAGAGACTTCTTCACGTCTCCAGAACGAAAGAAAACGATCGAGTATGGAACTAAACCAAGTGAAGCGGTGAAACAAAAAGCGACATGTGTCACTTCCCAAACCTGACCTTAGACCAAGATACTCTTCGAAAACATCACGAAAACTTCAGAGACATTCAAAGTTGAGATTAACGCCAGAGAACTATCGAGGACTGCATAGTGTATGCCCCACGGCCATCTTGCGTACGCCACAGGCTAGATCGGAAGTAGAAAATACAGCAAGAGCATGCATGTAGAGCCTGAAAATGGACCTCGAATAAAATACATCAAGTCTAAAGCCGAGGTCTTCCCGACGACCACAACCTAATAGCAAACTATCAGCGGGACACAATGCCGCGCGTAAAAAACAGGTGCTACGCCTGTTGTCCTCCACGAACATCGATCTTGGATCCATGTCTCACAAGAACATATAGTGCGCGTAAGGACCGAAACCAAAACGTGTGCATCCCAACCCACTGTGCCGCAAATCAGCTCAGACTCGTCACAAGCATAGAAAGAACGCAAGACTGATTTCTATCTCTTTGTCAAAATCCTCTCAACATCAAACAGACGTAAAACCCTAACTAATACCCACCCAGGTGCACCTATTATCGGCAAGAGCAAAAATGCAGCGGGATGTCCATCTCACAGCGGCAGAGCCGAGGGCCGACACAGCAGAGGAGGATGTAGCAGCCATGGGAAAGAGACGAGATCGGATCCAGAAGCAGCAGCAGCAGCGGCAAATCCTCCGAACGAGTCGAGTGTTGCTGGTGTTCGATCAGGAGGAGGACTGTCTCCCGCACTCTTCTTCACAACTCCGAGCTCTCAGTCGACGGAGGCAGTCCTTATTGAGCGAGCAACGAGATCGCTGCCCCTTGGCCCGGCGCTGGGACTGTCGACGCTCGCGCTGCGCACTCTGCGCCTCGACCACGTGGCGGCTCGCCAGTGGCCGGGCAGGGAAGGTAAACTCTATGGCTGCGATACCACTGACGTTCACAACGCAGCTCCTCCGACGACGCTCGCAAGGCGTCAAGCGCCTTTCGTCGCCGCGTGGCCTCTGGGCATCTGAGATCCCTCCCGGCCTTTCTCCCGCGGTTCCGGCGGGTTCCCGATGTGCACAGGAAGCTGTCCTGTGCGCCTTCTTTTGTTCCTTGCCGCTTGGAAAGGGCTGGCTGGCCTCGGGGTCAGGACAACCTCTCGGTCGCGCGACACTCGCCCTGCCACTTCATGGGTTTTGGACTTTTGCCAGTCGTGAGTTGCGCTCGCTTTTCGACTCTCCGTTGGGAGGTTGGGAGGTTCTCTATTCATGTAGGACAGACATTGCCGTTTTAGAGAGTTCAGCACCCGGATTTGAAACGTCTGTACTTCCAATTTTACCTGAGAAATGAAGCTGGTGAGGAGACTTGAGAGTGAGCTGAATGTTCTTATTTCTCTATCCCCACTTCAGTGGTGTCGAGCAGGTGCAGCCGGTGCTGTTGTTCGCACTGGACTTAAATTAGAATCTGCAAGTTGGTTCAGATACCTAGTGTTTAAAGTTAGAATATGGTTCACCGGAGTTACGTTTTCCATGTTGAAAACGAGGCCTTAAACGTCCACCTGACTGATGAAAGAATCTGGACTCTTTGACGCTCACATCGAATTGGTTTCAATAGTTTTTTTACATGTAAGAGATGAACAACATGATGATGTTGAATCTTTGTAATGAACAAATATTTGAGAAAGTCAAAAGATTAAGACATATATCTGTCTAAATGCATGAAATATAGGATTCGTGATGTTTTGTTTGTTGTTGTATGATTTGTATGTCCATGACACCTCATTGACCATAATGAAACACGTCAAAAGGTTTCTAACCATCTTACAATTACAAGTGTATGATATATACCTTACATGTAAGAAGTTATGATGTGGGCATATAGCAGCAAAAAGAAAAATAACATGCATGCCATAACTTTTGTAAGTCACGGATGTCTTTTGTACTCAAAATACTTAGCACATGTATTATTTATATTCAGAACTTCTAGCATAATTTTATCCTACAGTACATAGATGAATCATATGAATTATCATCATTATCAATGAACACAAATGCTATACTTGATTTCCTTTAAAAATAAGAATTGTCTTGTAAGAAAAATCTCATCTCTAGCGAAATCAAATATAAATCTCTGTCAAAAAGTAAAATTCTGTCATAATTTACGATAAAAAATTTGAATTCTGAAACATTTAAAGTCCACTGATTCATACTTCAAGACAGTCACACTCACATTTTCGATTTATACAAATACTCCCAATAAACCTCAAACCCTCAACAGAAGTCTTCAGCCTAAAGTGAAATAAATACCTTGCCCACTTTGACTTCTCGCATTCACTCGACTAGGATGACACTACAGTAATCATAAAGCAGGACATGGCACCAGCCATGTTGCAATTGTGGGGACTGAACTACGGATAGCACTCGCAGAAGGTTGCACTCAAGAGAGTCGACTGTACATTCCCGAAGGAGATGTGGAACATTAGGGAGATGGTAGAACCTTCCAGAGGATGTCGCGCGGCATGTGGAATGAACAGGATGATTGTGGGTCGGCATGTGGAATGAGCAGGGGCATTGTCGCCCGGCATGCGGCATAAGCGGATGATCCGAACCACGAGACGTCTCGTAAGCTTCGTGACGTCGCCGGATAAGTTCGGTACAAGGCGAAGAGGATACCCGTTGCAGGCAGTTACCTCCGTTCGTCACGAAGTCGGGAAGAGGGAGCTTGAAATCCGACTATCTTGAGGACTTTCCAGTTTCTCGCAGTAACAGTTCTGTGTAACAGAAAGGAAGTGGACATTAGACGCCTCTTTGACCAAATATACTGTAGAAAATGGCTTCCGAACCAAACTACGAAGTAAGCATTGGATCAGTCCAGTTTACAGGTTGTAGCCTTCCCTGGTCAATAGACTTCGCAGTTATCAATAGGAAAAGTGGACGTACGATCAACCTTGGGTTACCGCCTTCCCTGTGTGATGACAGGAGTTCATGCATACCTTTAGTCTTACCATCCTTTCTGCATTTTACTTAGTTCTCGTCCTTTTGTCCATTTTCCCCACATTACTGTCTGTACGGCTGAACCTGGGATCGTGCGACAACATTCATATGAAACACATACAGTACTGTGGAATTTGCAAGTTTTGACTTTTTATATTGGGGCGGCTAGTATATTGAGTTCACTCATTGGTTCACTCGGATAATAGTCCGTGCTGGCAAAATAAACTTTTGGATTGAATTCTTGATCCAAATCAAATATGATTATTTGGCAAAAGTCACAAAGGAACCATGACTGCCAGCTCCAAGTGCGAATAGCCACGTTCAATGTTGATGGAGCTGATTGCAAAGATACCTCTGCAGTTGTGTTCTAGCTTCGGAAACGCTTGCAAATCCGTGAAATTTGCGGTGCCTGGAATCGTTTCGCCACCGCAGAGGTTGCTTGGTGTGGAGGGAAAAAATTCCATAGGAACTCCAAAATTGAGGACTGAGAAGGCAGGACTCAAGAGGCTGCTCGGCGTGAATGTAATGATTGTGGAAGACAGAACGGCGAGACGAAGAAATGTGAAAGGTATGTGGTTCCGAGGGCATGTTCGTCGAGGAATATGCAAAATTTGAACTTGCTGATTTTCCCGTGATTTTTGTTGTTTCGAATCTGATGTTGAAGATCACTCGTCCCGGGCGAAAACGTCGCAGCTCGAATTGGAAAGCAGAACGCCGGATTCATCTAAGTTTCATGGGATGGAGTAATACTGAAGGGGCGTGGGAGCTCGCTCAAGCCCGAGCAACGACAGGACTTCTGTGAGTCCGATCTTGAATTCGCCCGTCGTGGACCATGCTGCTTGTAGGTATAGAAATAATGGATGTGATCGTCATCGGTAGCAAAATTTGTGTACTTTGTTGTAGAGGACTGCTCACACGCAATGGAGACAATGTGTTGGTGTTCGAGAGCCACACGATCGCCAGAGGTGCAGCGCATTTGTTTGAAATTAAAGGTTTTCACTTCGCCTCGAAACCTTTTTTGTTCTCGGAACTCACCTCGAAAGATATGTATGCGAAAACTCTAGCCGATATGGATGAAGCTCACAATTGCACATTCGAAATTCCATCCCAACCCAACCTTGTCAAATGCGATGATCTCCTAGCGTAGCCTACTCCTCTCCAATCTTTGCACCAGTCGGACGCTGATTTCATCGGTCTTCGATGGCGATTTGACCTTTTGACAGGTCCTATATGCTTTGGATGAGAACGTCGAGTGCATAAAGTACGACGGCTGGATGGTTTACGTTCCTAAGGGCACATTTTACTCTCACATTGGCACTTGGTTCCTCTGTGGCTTTTGCCACAGGTACATCTTTGACGTCGCTTAGAAAAATTGGAAACTCGCGAAGTTTATTTTTTTTCACACGGATCCTATAATCCAAATGAACCAATGAGTGAACTCAGTATAGTAGAATGAGGACTAATTAGCCCCATGTGAGGTATAAGTAGTTGAACCTTTATATTTATAGTATGTTTTTCACTCATTAGTATTGTTTAACTCTTCTCTTTTCCACAATCTTGTCATTGACCGTTGGATCTGGGATTGTGAGAAAACATTCATTCAAAAGACATTCATTCAGATCACAAGAAAACTCAAGACGTATTTCTGGGCATAAATAGTTTCTTTCCTAGCGATTAGGGCTGCTTACCTTGATCCATCCACGGAAAAATAAATCTTTTACTTTATATGTGTTGAATAGAATCATACCTTGTAATCTTGCAAAAAGGATGGGTTGTCTCTATCAAATCATGTTGATTCACCTAAGATATTCAAACTATATAATGCTAAATAGCTGGAGCATCCAAATAAGAAATCATGATACAGAAACTAATATATTTTAATCGTGACGAGTCATAACTAAGAATAAGATCACTCAAAATCCATCCAATTAACAATCAAAAGTATGTCACTCATTAAAGATTGAAACGGTGTTCAAGATGAAGCTTGTCAATTTTGATGATTTTACATAGTTGAGTAACTTCATGATTGGTATAACTAAGAGTATTTATCATAAGAATCATCTTGCCATATAGGGAGACAGAATGAGGAATGTTTAATCTCACACATTCATGACTCTTTCTTTTTGTACTACGAGTAGGGAGGTTCATAGTAATGCTATCATAACATAGTTGCAAGGAGATCATTCTCCAACATTTGATGTACAATTCACAATCATAATATACCATACCTAAACCTAGAGTTTCAAGTAATATATTTTCTTCATGAATCTAAGACTTCAAATCATCTCAAATGCTTTAGAGCATTAGATTTAAGAACCTCATATAATACTCTAAAATTTCAATCATTATCACATGTTAATGCATGCACAATCATGCTTGTAACTTTGTTGCATATACGCTTTTGGTTACATGTAAATGAAGTTACTTACATACATACAAAGATGCTATGATATTTCCTATATTATCGTTTTAATTTGAAGCACATTTGAATCATTAAACAAATTTAGAACTCAAGTGTTTAAAAAATCAAAATCAAGTGTGGAACTCCAATATGCGCAACACTCAATAAACTGACTTTAAAGAAGTATTTTTCTATTTTAAAATTCTAAACTAACAAATTTAATTCATGAATAAGATGATTAATACATTGACAATTATAATTAAATTTTCTATATTAAGATATATGTTTCATCATATTTGTGTATATTTCTATTTCTTTCAAAAAAACTATGTATTTTAAAAAAAAATTGGATTCTAACATTTAATTTAATTGAATTATTTACAATAATATTTTTTATAATCTCATAAATTAAATTTATCCAGGAATGAAAACTTTTAAAATTTTGAAAATAATTTTCTTTTCAATCAAAAGTAATCTGAATCTCCATGAAAATTAATATCTAGCTATGCAATAACATTTTGTCAGATATATTGCATCTTCATGCAACAATGCTTTCATTATGTAAAATATCATGCAATATAAATTATAATGGAAGATCTCAATGAACTTAAAACTTCCAAATCATATTGAGTTAATAGATTCAATAA